GGGCATTGATCTGCACCCCCCTCCACACCCCTTCCCTCCACCCACCACAACAGACTTTCCAACTGGAGGCAGCTGTGTCCAGCGTGGTGAAGACTGCTACCTGTTTAGTCTGTGGCCGAATCTCCAAAGCGGCACCAAATCTTTTCCGAATCAATTCAGAGGCTTCTGATTCGATTCAGATTCAAAGATTCAGCCTCCGAATCAGGCTGAATCTTCTCCAAATTGAATTGGCTACTGAAGCTTTGCACAGCCCTAATTTATACCTCTTTATCTCTACTGGACATACCTTGACTCAGGAGATCACAGTCTCCTTTTTGAAGGCAATATCACATTGGCAGGTTATAGTATCTGTGCAATCAAGTAGTATACAAAAGTCTGACTTATCCCCAGTAGTTTTCTACTGAAGGGCTTCCAACTCCTTGCAGAGATTTTCTTGTCTAACTTTAGGTGTATGGCCTTCCATTGTGTCCTATTGCATTTCATCCCATTTCAGCTACTTCTGTCATCAAGGTCATATATTTCTTTCTCTATGATATCCCAGTCATCCTCTGTTATTGACAATGACTCCGAACTTTGGGTCATCAGCACATGTTATCAACTTCCTCCTACATTTTGGTGTCAAGGTCATTAATGCAAATATTAAACACAATTAGTCCCGATACAGTTCCTTGAGGAACCACATTTGTAACTGACCTCCAGCTGGATACTTTTCATCTCAGCACTGACCACTGCCATTCCCCCTTTCTTCAGTTCCTTACCCACCTCGCAATTCTTCCACTAATCCCCATCTTTTCAGCTTGCCTAATAATTTCCCGTGGGGCACCATATCAAGACCTGTACTTCACAGGCAATAAATTTTAATAATTACTTCAACAAAATCATGAGTCAAGGGTTAGGTTCAGCTGCAGGGTAACTCAGCAAGTGCACAGCTTCTGCAGCAAAGAGTTCAGGCACAAGAGATCTATCATGTTCATACTCCCTTTCTGGCCCATACACTTTGAAAGCAAATAGACACAGAAAGCTCCATAGAGTTGAGCAGACCAGCTTGGGTGGGGTGGGGAGGAATGGAGAGGGGGAGGTCTGAATCACCAGCCCCACATATCAATATTCTCAATTAAGCTCTTTTCCAAATTAAAGTTGCCTCCCCTGGTAAAGCTCCAAGAGGAGAATGTTGTTACAAACACTGCTTGTTATCCTCAAGAGGAGTGCCTTCCACAAGGCGCAGCAGTCCCTATTCACATAAGAACGATGCAGTGTAACCCCAAATCCCTGCACCAGCAGAAGTGAATCAAACCCAGTTTCTACTTAGCTTCAAACCACATAAAGTCTTTAGGAAGAGCTCCTGAGCCTACTCCCGTTCAAGTAAATACGGATTTTGTCACTGGCTGCAGTGGGAATATGATCAGGCCTTAAAATTTGCAATTTATTGCAAATTAGCCAATTAGCTGGACAGCTATTTATATTTTATTTGCACATTCTGTTCCGAAGACTTTTTGGCAATGACCTCATAGCATTGAATTACTATTACTACTACTACTACTACATGTTTCTACACTGCCCGTTAATTAAATATATGCGCTGCTGGTGCCATTTTTACAGTGCTCTCAGGCTATAAAACATTTGGGTTTTTGTCTTGCTGTAGGAGGGTTTTCTATGCCCACTAAGTATAAATAAATGCTCAGAAAATTAGCAGTTTTACCAGCACAAAGTCCATTTCCTTCCCACCCCCAGGGAAATAGGTATCCAGCACAGCAGTGTTTTACTGACAGTTTATGTTCCCAAAATGTTTTTTGTTATATGTTGAGGGCATAAAACTAGCATCTCATGGCCAAATACATGAAGTAAAAAGACAAACCTGCCTACAATTCAACAAACTATAAGGGAAAATCTTAAAAACTCCAAATGACAAAGACAAAGATACTTTTTCTGAGTAAAAGAAAACAGCAGTTCCAGAATCTGAAAGAGTAGAGAAATTGCACATGTTGAATTCTGAATGTGTCCAGTAGAGGGCAATAGCACATACACAGAGAAAAAAGTTATATTTAAAATAAACATTTTTTAAAATGTGTTTTACAGGAATAAACAGCCTTTAAAAATGGACTAGTTAATGTCTTTAAAATGTATGTAATTTAATTTTAAATATTTTCTCTTCCAGAGTTCTTAGGTCCTCCCCCTCCCTGTTCCTGTAACAAAACCAATTTTTAAAAAAGGAAAGCCTTTTTGACCCAGTTTTTACGAATCTGGCAAGTTCTTAAGCAGACACAGAACAGCAACTTTTAGCCATCAATAGAATTAGGATGCCTGTTTTTTTCAGATTGGACTGCAGATGAGTTTCTAGTGGTACTTTTTCCACAAACAGCACAGGTTTCAGTCATTAAGATGCATTTATGCTTTTTTCTTTGTTTTAAAATTGGAGGCAAGTCCTTTTGATCCAGAAAATGCATTATATTTTTCTAAGTCTAACAATCAAGAAACAAGCTGTGAAAAATCTTGTTAGGCACACACATTTACATGTAAAATTATTCAAGAGATCAAGTTTTTTTTCTCTTGTGATTCTGAGAGATGATTTGTAGGGCTGTGCGAAGCTTCAGTCCCTGATTTGATTCGGCAGAGATTCGGTCTGACTTGGTGGCTGAATCTCTGAATCCAAATCCGGCCCCCACCCCCGGCTCAATGACCGGTGTCCCCTGGGTCTGTGGGGGCACCCGGGGTCCCCCTATGGCCAATCGCTGAGCCGGGGGACGGTACAGGCCCCCCCCCCATATGCTCCCCAGCAGCCCCAGAAGTACTTCTGATCCACTTTCAGGTTCACTGCCGAGCACGTGGAAGGCCCCCCCCCCGCACTCCTGTGGGACACCCCATCTGTCCCAGCATCACAGCATTCACGAGCCATGCCTGGTACCTAAAGGGATGCAGAAAATACTTTTAAAGCTGTGTCTATGCCTGAATCGCTGATTCTCCCAATCAGCATTGAATCTTCAGATTCGGCCGAATCAAATCAGGGACAGTGATCTGAATCAATTAATTGAATCACTGTCCCGGATTCAAGCTTAGTCTGAGTCCACATCGAATAGGGCCCACTTCGCACACCCCTAATGATTCGTGAATTTTTATTTGCCTATTTTCTCACCAACAGGACACAAACATTAAATGAAGTCATAAAGAAACATAAATCCTCCTTCTCCAGTTGGTTCATAAGATCACAGGAAAGTTGGAGTGGAGGGGACCTTGTGAGGCCACTTAGTTCATCCCCCTACTCAAGGCAGGATCATCCCTGACTAAACCATCCCCACCAAGTGTCTGTCTAACCTGCTTTTGAAAATTTCCAAGGATTGAGAGTCCACAACTTCTCTAGGTAGCCTGTTCCACTCCTTGACCAATATCATAGTCAGAACGTTCCTCCTAATCTCCAACCTAAATTACCTCTACTGCTGCCCCCTACAGACACAGAGGAAAGCCCATCTCTGTCCTTTCTCTAATAACCCTTTAAGTATTTGAGGACTGTTATCACCCCCTGTCTCTTCTTCTCCAGACTAAATAACCCTAGCTCTTCAGCCTGTCCTGAGAAGTCAGTTGCTCTTTTTTGGACTCTTTCCAATCTTTCCCATGATTGAAGCATGAAGCCCAAAGCTCAACACCATACTCTAAATGAGGCTTCACCATTGCCAAACAGTGAAAGGAAGGCTTCCCTTCATTTGCAAGTGAATATACTCCTGTTAATACAATATAGGATGCTGCTGGCTTTCCCCCCACCCACCCCAACTCAACAAGAGCACACTTCTGGCTCATATTTAGCTACTGGTCCTTCTCAGCAGTACTGCAGCCTAGCCAGTCCTTCCCAGTCTGTATTTGTGCATGCAATTATTCTGTCCTAAGTGCAGGACTTTGCACTTATCCTTACTGAATTTCATCGGTTTGATTGTGGACCATTTGTCCAGTCTACCAAGGTCATTCTGGATCCTAGCCTTACCTCCAGAGTGTCTGAAAAACCACCTAAATTGGTGTCATCCACCAATTTGCTAAGTGTACATTCAGTCCATTCCTCCAAATTAAATGACGATGTTAATACCAGACCCAAGACAGACCCCAGAGAAACCCCACTTTGTATCTCCTCCCAGCTATTGAGCCACTGATGTCCACTCACTGGTCATGATGATCCAACCAGTTTTCTGTCCACCACACAGTACCTTCATTTAGACCAGGAGTGGGCAGTTATTTCAGCTGGAGGGCTAGTTAATGAGTTTTGGTGACCTGTTGAGGGCCACATCTCTCTCTCTCACGGTCAAGCATGATGTATTCTAGATGAACACATACTGGATGATCACCTTGTTCTCCTCTGGGTCCTTCACAATGGATTCCTTGAGGACCTGCACCATAATCTTTCTAGGTGTTGAGGTGAGTGACTGTTCTGTAATTGCCCAAATCCTCCTTCTCTTTCTAAAAGATGGGCACTATATTTACCCTTTTCCAATCATCCAGGACCTCACCTGACCTCCACAAGCTCTCAAAGAGGAGAGCCAGTGGCTCTGAAATTGCTTCAGGCAAATCTTTCAGTACCATAGCTTGTATCCCATCTGGCCCTGCTAACTTGAAACCATCTAGCTTCTCTAAGTAATCACTAACTTGCTCCTCCACTACTTTAGGCTGTTTCTTGTTTGCCCTATCTTTGCTGTGGACTGCGTTTGTCATCTAGTAGCTGCTGCTATTTGTGAAGCCTAAAGGAAAAAAGTCATTATATACTTCAGCCTTGTCTGTGGACCAGACTGCCTTCCGCACTCTGTAAAGGACCTATGGAAGCTCTTGTCTTCCTCTTACTTTTGACATCCCTAAAAAAACCCTTTTTACTGCCTTTTACATCCCTTGCCAGCTGCATCTTAAATTGTCCCTTGGCCTTACTAATTTGCATGCCCACATGATATTCGTATACTCTATCCTTGTAATATGACCAAGATTGCACTTTTTGCAGGATTCCTTTTTTAGTTTAAACTCCTTGAAGAGACTAGCCAGGCTGGTTTCCTCTTACACTTCCCATTCTTTTGTCACATGGGGATAGCTTGCTTCTGCACTCTTAATATGGCTTCCTTAAAATACAACCGGGTCTCCTGGACTCCTCCTCCCCTCAGATTTACCACCCAAGGAATCCTACTGACCAGCTCCCTGAGTTTGTTAAAGTATGCTTTTCTGAAGTCTGTGTCTTTATTCTACTGCTCCCCTTTCCTTCCTCCCCATAAGATATTGAACTCTTCTTTCATGGACACTGACACCCAAGGTACTGTCCACCTCCACATTCTTAACCAATTCTTCCCTGTTTCCGTACAGCAAGCCAAGAAGAACTTCCCTGCTACTTGACCTTTCTACCATCCATACTAAAAAGTTATCCCCAACACACTCTAAGAACTTGCTGGGCTGTCTGTGCACTGCTGTGTTTCCCTCCCAGCAGATGTCCTGGTAATTAAAGTTCCCCACATGAACCAGGTTCTGCCATTTGGAAACTTCTGTCTGTTGTTTAACTTCTGTCAGATGCTTTCAGTCGGCCTACTTTCCACTACACACTGCACCTCAGAACAGAATTTTGAGCAGAATTTTCAACCACTTTGCAGGAGCTGCTCTGAAGAAAGAAGGAGAAACCAAACTAAGTCTCCCACAAGACGTGTGATGGTACTCAATAGTGGACAGTTTTGAGCAATATATTGAGAACTGACCTAATCTGATGACAATTTGTAAACAAAATCATGACAAAATAGATGGACTTGTCATAGCCAAAGTTCTCAACATTGGCCTAAGAGAAATGCAGAGCATATGCTAACTATCCTGAAGTCTATTTCCATAGCCTTGACCAAAGGTAATATCAAACAACAAAACTGCACTTTTTGTAGAAAACAATGATTAAATTAAATTTAAATCATGATTTAAACCAATTTGCTTTAAATCAAATCCACCCTGCCCGCCACTGAATGGCGGAGGGGCCCTGTTGCTTGCCATTTGCTGCCCATGCTTGCCACCTGTGCCTGAAACCACAGCTGCAGTTTTCACCTCCCAGCCATCAGGCACAGGTGGTGAGCAATGGGGCCTCTCTACCAATCAGAGTTGTGGGGGGTGGGGGGGTGTGGAGGAAACTCCAAGATTGAAGGGACCACCACGCTGTGTACTTCCAGTGCAAATTCCAGAGATCCCTAGTTATAGGTATTGTGCAATTACCTAATTGCACAATCACCTGGAGACCAGCCACACATGCAAAGTAGTTATCACACAATAAATAGCTCTGACCAGCTTATAATTAGACCTTGAAAATGTGTACTAATTTTATAGTTGATTGCTATTGAACTTTAATTTGCATGTGTAGCATGGTCTCACCTTCGTTGGGAGCACCGTCAGCTAACAGGGCTCTTAACTGCAGGGGTGCACCATGCCCTGAGGATCATGGCTGTCACAATTCCTAGAGCTCAGAGGTGCATGAAACCCCCAGACCCTGGAGACTGCCTAGGTGGGGGGAGTAGGAAGAGGCCAAAGGATTACTGCAGGGTGATTCCCCCACCCTGGGAGTGCAGGAAACCCCTGTTGTCAGAGGATTATGATCCTCCAGCCCTGGGGGCTTCCCACACCATGGGGGTGGGAGGAAGGCCCCAATGACAATCCTCTGACCCTAGGGGCTTCCTGCACCCCTGAGCTGTAGGGATTGTGGCAGCCATGATCCCCAGAGCCTAGGGGCTTCATTGACTATGCATAGCGGGTGCATGCGTGTGCACGTGCACCCCCTGAGATTGGCCACTGCCAGTGGTGCCTGCAGGGCTGTCACCGCTTGCCACCCCCCGCTTGCCGCCAACACCGCCAGTAGTGTCTGCAGGCAGTCACCGATCACCGCTGCCAGCGCTACCAGCAATGTCTGCGGGTGGTCGTGGACTGCTGGCTGGTGCTCACCACCCCACCACCTGCTGCCGGCACTGCTGTGGCCACCTGCAGAAGCTCCCCACTCACCACTCCCACGACCCCACCACCGATACCACCACCATCACCTGCGGCCGGTCGCCATGCCCCCACAGCATTCAGGGGCACGCGTCATTCATGGGTTTCACCCCTAGGGCAGAGAGATCACTGCACCAGCAATCCTTCTACCCCAGAGTTTCACAGCATCCAGGGCTGATATGTGTGGAGAGGGAGAGAGTCTACAGTTCATTTCCCCAGTGGTGTAACCGAGAACTCTGCTGTCATGGTATAGACATACTCTGTAATTTCCCTTTGATGTACTCCTGCAATGCTTCGTTAGAACAGGATAATATTTTCTCCCCCAAAGAATTATGTTGTTGATTATACCACCTAGATAACTGGCTTGATTTCCAATAGTTCAGTCATATACAAGTATGAAATTCAAATCTTGTAAACATTTTAAATTATTTTTATTCATGTCATGCCCATATCAGTTTTATAGTCAAAGCTGTTTACTGTTTTGCTCTTAAAAGAGGGATTCATTCAAACTCTTTATGTATGAAAAATAGTGTGTGCTTCCCAAACAGATTCTTGTTAAACAGAATAAGTTTTCTGAGACTGTATCAGTAAAGCCTTTAATTAGGTTGAATTAGAATTAATTTTTAAAATTGGTGAGAATTTTAATATTTATGTCAGGTTTTCTTTGTCCTGAATGAACTTAATAATGCAATAACAGCCTATTCTAACTTTCTGTGTAATTAAATCTCATTGATATCTTGCACATATACAGCATTCCTGGATCTGAAACAGCCAGGACATGGCTGTATACCATGCTGGTACATCTTTGAATCTGCTATCATGTTCTCCAGAGTCCTAGCTTTGCTTTTAAAATAAAAATAAGCCTTTAGCTGTACGGACTGCAGGGGGGGTTGGGGGGGGGGACCCAAAAATGTGAATGGAGTATAACCAGAGCAGATACAAATCTGCAAATAACTTGGAAGAATAGGTCTAGGTGGTGTGAGCTGCATCTGGTTGGGAGTCCTCCAAAACAGCTGCTTTTGAAAATATGATTTCATCAGAACTGAAATTTTTGTTGACATGTTTCAGTTTTGAAGACCTTTCATTATCATAGGTTTCCTACCAATTCAACTGGCTGGCTACTATGGACTTCATCTCATGGAGACCGTTTCAGGCTGGGGATCCCAGAGCTTCCAGGATACTTCCATAGAGCTGGGAGCCCAGAAAAGCATTACAAAAAGTTCACTCCTGCTACAGCCAGAGCTTTTCTGGGCTCCCAGCTCTATAGAAGTATCCTGGAAGCTCTGGGATATGATGCAAGGTGCCCTTGGGGCATCCTCACCACTTCATTTTGGTGGGAGGGGTGGTGATATTATAGAGTAGGAGGGACATATTTCCCGAGTGCCATGATTGGGCAATCTGCTGCCACAATGTACCCATGCCTAAGGTGCCTAAATGTACATGAAAGCATCATTGGCTTTAATTTCCAGCCAAGTTTAATCAACTCCTTTTTGTAAGATATATTTGAGGGCATGAAGTTTTGTTCCCTGTGCACCAGGCTTAACAAAATTTCTTAAATTGAACCAAACCAGATATTTTGTAATGTTTGTGTTATCCTTTCTTATTTGTATTGCAGTAGTACTGTAGGTAATGCTTTCCTTGGCTGGGCCTTGGAAGAATTCTACCATTTTTATTGTCCTCAATCTAACTTTTGGCTATACCTGAAGATCTCACTGGGATAGGTACCAAAAAGGTCTCTGCCCCAAAAAGCTTTCAATTGAACCACAAGAAAAGCGGATAATGTGGATACAACCAACAGAAGCAGCACCTAGTATAAAAGAGTCTAGGTGGGAGAGAAGGTCATGAAGGGCCTTAATCATGAACATGGGATTCAGTGGAAAGAAGGAGTTGCAATGATGGGATGCTGTCTAAAGGAAAAATACCACCAAGAAGATCATCTTTTCGGTAGCACTTTGAAAGGAAAATTTTGAATATGGCAACTTACTGCTCTATGATTCCCCAAAGCAAACAGCTCCTGTATTTCTCTGGATCAAATCAACCCTCAGGGGGTATTGCCCACCAGAGGCATAGCTAGAAATTTCTTCACCCTGGGCAGTATGGAAAGAAGAGATGGATACAGGCTTGTGCTGAGCCCAGGAGAACTAGGGTTAGAGGGCAGGCAGAGTCTTAGTCACCACGGCACAGGCTCACCCAGGGGTTTGGAGGCTCCAGCTGTAGAGCACCAGATGTGAAGTTCCTTCTTCAGCCTCACTTCCCCACCCCCATGGGAGATGGCACTGCTGGAACAGGTACAAGATTAACCCTGCCATAGCTGCCACAAAATTGTCTGAATAACATGATTATAAAAGCCATAATTCAGCAGTGGCTGTGAGAGGGTTAACACAGTAGCTGTTGAGTTCACAGCAGCTGCACGGGGAGCAAGGCTGACGAGGGTATTCCTGCCTCCAGTCTATGCAGTCAAAGCTAGCAGCCTGTGGCTGAGCCTGTGTGGAACACAGTTCCTGCTGCCTTCCAGCACCCTACCGGTCTTGGTTCTGGTTCCCCACTATAATCAATATCCAAGGCTTGTGCCCCAGTCACCCAGCCCTAGTTATGCTATTATTGCCCACAAGTCTCATGGGAACTTCTCATTCAGAACCAAATGTCCTTCAGGTGTCAAACACAAGTACAGTTGGGCCTCAATTTACTTATAGTGGTTACTTTCTTGAAAAAACACCATGCAAATAGAAATTTCGTAAAAAGATACCAAGGGTCTATATGAAATAAGGGTTTAGGTTCTAGATGACACTGATAATTGGACTGATAAATGCCCATGCATGTGCGCAGCTGCAGCGCAGGACACGGGTGGCACAGAACAGAACCTAGCAGCTTGGAGAGCTGCATGCAGCTGGTAAGTCTGGTGTGGTGGAAGGGGATGGGGGGGGAAGGGAAGAGGAAAGGGAGGGACATAGCCAGGTGCAGATCAAGGCCCCCACAGTGAGGAAGGAGTGGGGAAGGGGCAGGGGTAGATGCTGCCCACATGAGACGGGTCAGGCATGGGCCAGAGCTGCAGATTGTCTAGGGGGTGCAGGGCAGCTCTTGCATGGGGTGGAGTGGGCAGGCTGGAGCCAGGGCTGCACCAGGCTTTTCTCACTGGGGGCTGGGCTCAGGGTGGTGGTGGGGGCACTGAGAGGGGATTGGGGGGGCCTACAGCCACCTCAAATGTCACCACAGCCCCCCCATAGCCCCCTTCCAGCACTGCTGTCGCCCACCCCAAGCCCAGCCCCTGCTCCAGCCCTGAGTTGCAACCTGCCCCACCCCGCACAGATCTGGGGGTTACATGCCCCCCCCCTTGCTCTCCCAGGGTGCATGCAATGGTGGAAGCTGCATCCCCTGGACAAGCCATGGCTCTGTCCTATGCCCATCCTGCCCCAGCTGGGCAGCCCCTGCCCCACTCCCTCCCTCACCATGGGGGGCATTGATCTGCCACCCATGCCCCTTCCCGTTCCCCTTCCCTCCTCCCTCTCCACAACACACTTACCAGCTACACTGACAGCAGCGTTGTGGGGGGGGGCAGGAAGCGGCCAGCTGATTCTAGACGCACCTGCACGTGTTGCCAACTGTGCTAAACCATGTAAAAGTGAATCCATACTATGTACAAAAACAAAGGGTCACAATTAATGGACCGTGCAAAACTGAAACAGTGCAAAAAATACTGTGTAAATTGAGGCTGTACTAATGCTGCAGTTACAACATCTTATCACACCTTAATTGCCTTTCAGTTGTTTTCATTCTGCTAAAGCTGCCCAATTGGACCAGAAGTTGTTTGTCCCATTGCCTGCTGTAAAAAAACCCAAAACAAACCACTCATCTGACCACATACATGGCTTTCTTCCTTTTTGAGCACAGGAAACGTGCCTTTGCCAGAGCATAGTCTTGAAGAGACAGCTCACATAACTAGCCTTTAGTTCTACAAGTAGTGGCTCATAACACCCACGGAAACACTTGTACAAGTAAGATTTTGAAGGATTAGGCCTGACTTCCACCCAGCTTGAGGAGGTGTGTTAAGGTAAAAAAAACATGCATCTGGAGCACCAGCTACTTTAGTACCACAAGGTGTCAACAACCACCACTTTTTAAAAATTCACTAAAAAGATTTTAAATGAATATAATTGATGAAGCAATGACTGCCCAATTAACTAGAGGGCCTAAGGGACTAAACAGTCCCATTTGTTTCAATGGGACGTAAAGCAAGCTCATGGCTCTAGAGTAGCTCAGAGACACAACCCTCTAGCAGAGGGCTTCCTAGGGTGTGCACACCCTGACTGGCCTTTACCCTCATGGTTCTAATGGGGCCCTATCAGATAGGGCCCCACCTGTTGCATAGAGTCTTCTGCTCATTTTCACGGGAGCTAAGTAATCTTCTTTGAGGCAGACTCCAGCCTGAGCTCAGTGAAGGAATAGAGGTCCAGGGATGGTAGGAAAAACTGAGCCTTTTTAATGTGGAGTAATATTAGCTCCCCACCCACCCTCTATTACACCCAAGAGAATGATCTAACTGAAAGCCCTGCCACCT